AGAAATATACAAGTTTATTTCAAAGGACTTACTTTTATAGCGAACAAAATAAGCCACTTTTATAGTTTCGTGAAAGTATTTTTCTTTTTAAAGACAATAGGAAAACTGTAATAGTTGCAGACGTGTTTCGTCTGATGTGGAATTTCTCAAGACAAAACAAAATGAATTTATTAAACGAAGTAACTAACAAAATGTCCTTAGCAACTGGAAGAATTTAGAGAATGCTATTTTCATACTGTTAACTGAAATTACGTCAATTACTGTCATGTGTGGAGATATTGTTTTTATTGCCGTGTTGACAGATTCAACCATCTAGAATTTCTTAGAATCTAGTGTACACATTTATTCTATTCCCATCAAACAAATTATCAATGGGTAAAATGAAATTCATAAATTTGTGTTATCAATAAAAGGAAGGACAGAAAACTAATTCAATTTTTTAAAGATTTTAAAGTAAAATCTTGAATAGTTACTAATCCAAAATTTGTTCAAAAGAATACGAACAAATCCATACACTGTAAACTTCTGTATTTAAATCTTTTTAAGAAGAATAATCTGCCCCTGTAAATTAAATAACGGGTTCAGTTTGAAACTCTTTAGGTTATGCACCTGACAAGTCTGGGGATCACAACAGCTGAAACACTGTGATAACAACCACAAAGATAAGGATAATAGTCCACACATAAATAGTATAAATAATGAGGACTCCTCATCCCAGAAATTCAAACAGAAATAAATATTTTATCTTGTTAATTAATTTGCTATCTCATAAGCAATAACTGCTTTGTCCAGTAAAATAAAATATCTTAAAAATAATAATTTACAATAAAATTTCTTGATAACTAACTTTTAACAAATAAACTAATATTAAGGTAATACTAACACCATGCAAAATCCCTCATACTCGCTTGATAGTGATGTTAACATTTAGATTTGATACAAAGAGAATATTGACATATGAATAAAATTGAAAACATTTTTATATTTGTGAGTTTTCAAAATTAAAAAAAAAAATTTTATTACTTAAATTTTTTTTAACTTCCTTGTTAATTCACAGTAAGAACAGGATCTATTTTAATGACGTTAGGCTCAGTCAGTAAATTAAATCATACAAGGATGTTTTTATCATATTTTCATTTCTGCTGAACAGATTTTTCCACTATTATCTTGCATGAATGATTTTTAAAAGAACATTATTGCTGCTTCCAATCCTGTTAGGAATGACTGCAAAAACATCTGACTCCCCATATTTATAGACAAAACATACAGATGCATGCTGGGATTTTTTCTTAGCCAATAAGATAGGTCACTTCTGTCTTATTCACCTTATTTCTGTTCCTTTTTGTCTTGAAGTCAGAACACTATGATCAGTTGTCTATGTCCCTTTTGTGCATTAACAATATTCTTAGTTTCTGAACTTTTTTTTTTACATGATTTGTGTTACTTTGTCTTGCATAGATCATTTACTTAGTATTATTTTTTCCTGTTCTTTTCTTCTTGTTATTTTTTATTACAAACTTTGTCAATTTTGTTGGGCATTTCTGCCAATTACATTTAACCATGGCCAATTAAAACTATCCAAACATTTCCCTTGCCCCCACCCCTTTCAAGCACAGACCAAATCTATTTCTTTCCAATGCTCTGCATTTTCTTCAATCAGCAAATGAAATGTAAGGCAAGAATTTAGTGCTTTTGGTTTCACAATACAAATCCATTTGTTTATTACTTCTGCTCTCATGAAAGCCACAATAATGAGAATGACCAACAAACAGAGAGGCCATCTGTCTCTTGCTTTATCTGCCAGTAATGGTCAACCTAATGAAGCCCCCCCACACACAGTTGAGAATTATGAGCACAGAGGAGTGGTCCGCATATAAACTGACCACAGCAGGCCAGACAATAGCTGGCTTTAGCAAAAACAATAATTAGAACAACCTGCTGTTATAGAGATTGTGGATAGATATACATGCAAGCAGATTTCTCATTTGGAGAAAGAGAAGAAATAGAAAAATATTGTTATTCAAGTATTCTATGAAGAGGTTTTATTAATTCTTGTTCATGACAATATTTGAAGTAATATATCCAAATGCTTATCACCAAGACAAAATATGCAGACAGAAACAATGCTATTCAACATTAACAACAATGCGGTATAACAAAAAGGTTTTTTTGTTCTTTAACACTCGATGAGGCCGTTAATAATCCCTAATTTCTGTCTGAACTGCTGAGATGAGGAGCTATCCCTATTTACACTCAGATTATTGTCCATATCATTGAATCATGTTTGAATTTTTATAGAAATGTTTCAACTACTTGTTTGCAATTCCATTTAAACATTAATAAATTAAACTGTATATGTTTGAAAAAATATAAGTAAAAAAATGTTAGAAACAATGAAAACAGTACTTTATAATTTTAAACTTAAGTTTGAATTATAGCATTTATCATTCTCCAGCTACGAGTTAAATAACAGGGTAGACCAGGCTGTCTTGCTTTGGTGGTGGCAGCCAATCTAGAAGAAGGACAATGGGAAAGCACTATTATCTTTCCCTAGAAGTCATGGCAATAATAATATTATCATACTGTTTTGGCCCTAATGCTTTCCAACATTTATTAGGTGCTTGCCAATCCAAGTAACCATCAGAGAGTATCAAAGTGAACACTTCATTTAATCTACAGGGAAAGTTAGTTCTCATTCCACTCACCATGACTAGGGATAACTCATAAAATTATATTATTCAGTTCTTGCTCACTTTGTTTCCACTAAATTTGCAGGGACTGAACTCACTATATAACCAATTTCACAAACCAACAATTTAATCTATTATCTCTCATGTGACATTCCTGAATCTAGAACATGGAGTCTGAAACCTGTTCTTCTACTCTGACTGCTGATGATAGTGCTGCTGTCATACTTAACTGCATTTACCATGGTTTCTCTTTTCTTATTGCTGCTGAAGACTTCTTCTCATTTCTCTTTATGTATTAATGCCTCATATATAGTATTTATTTCTATGCTAGGCTTACTAGAGAGGCATAAGTGCAGTCCTTCAGACATCTCTCCAGTATTGTTTACTTTTCAATCAAATAACTAATTAGGAGTGAGAAAATCAAACATGGCTAATCATGTTTGGAAGGAAAACGGTAGTCACCAACTCCTGTGCAATGTAGTAAAAGAAATACTAGCCAGAAAAGAACACTGAAGAGTCAGCAAGACTTCAACAGCAAGAAAGGTGAATGCAGTCAAGCATGACAAGCAGCAGATAGATTTGGTTTAAGACTAAGTTCTACACTCAGGATTGTCACATGTTACCTGGATCAACAAACTAAGTGCAAAATGGCAAAAATGTTGCGATAATAATAAATATGAGAATAATAGAACAAGTGTAAATACTATAATTCATAATCCCTATCTACAAATGGATGGACTCTAGACAAGTTCACTGTCCAAGTTTAGATAGTTCTGCTTTAAACCATTTTGATCTTGTAAGATTTTTATTATTTATATTTTATTATTTTTTTTTATAAATGCTGAAGGCCTATTAAAATAATAAGGAAATTATGGTGATTTTCTAAGTGTAGCTTAGATATGACATAAGGACAAAGTATGAAGCACCCTGTGAGAAATGAACTCACTACTCAGTCATAATTGTTCTAGCAAGACAAACTTGCTAACCATTACACCACATCGAGGTGCTCAAAATAATTTTCTGAGCATAGCTTAAATGTGGCACAAGACCGAAAGCATGTAGCACCCTGTGAAAAGCAAACTCACTATTCATTCATAATTGATCAAATGAGACAAGCTTGCTAACCATTACACCACAAAGTGTCCAAATAAGGAAATTATGAATGCTAGCAAATACTCTTGTAAAAATAGACAATGTAATTTTAACCTGAAATGTTCCTAGTGTCTCTGTAAAGCCTAGTTTAGCAATAGAAATATTCAAGTTGAAATACTATTATCCTTGACATCATTTCTGCTGCAAAATAATTTCCACTGATAACATTATATATTTGATCTCTGAATTTTTATACAAATGCTTCAACTGATTTTTAGCCATCAATTAAAACACTGCCTACATTTCCTTACAAAACAAGTTTTAAATAACTGCATTTTGTATATTTAAAAAAATTAAAGTAGAAAATTAAATATTTTAAATGAGTCTATAATCATAAACCTATGAAACTAAAAATATATAATATAAAAGATCTAAATAAAAAGAGTTTATTTCATCTCCTTAATGAAAATTGCTTTTTTGGAGACTTATGGTCCAAACTCTAGAGAGCATTGCAGAGATGATTCACAGTTTGAAGGTAATAATCAATTATAATAATTAAGGTGCAAAAAAAAAAAAAAATAAATAAACAGTCCCAAATTAATAAAACAAATCTCTGTAACCAATTGCAAAATACATCTGTAAAACAAACTTTTCGGGCACAAAACTGTTTCAAATATACAAAAAAAATAAATACATAAACTGCTGGACACTTGAATACTTGGTGCAGTTAGAAAAAAAACTTAATTTTGAATTATAATATTATTTCCCAACTATGAGTTAAATAACAGGGTAGAAGGAAGACAATGGGAAAAACTATTCCATTATTTTTCTCAGGAAGCCAGTGATTTAAATATAAAAAAAGAGAATCTTTAAAGAGTCAAAATTCCCTATATCTTCAAAAGAAACAGCATTATTTTAAAAAATAAATTAAAAGATAAAATGACTAAAGGAAAATACATGACAAAAAAGAATATTTAATAAATTTTTTGAATCACCTTTGACACACACAAACTTTAATTCATTAGCAACCTGATAGAGGGAATATCAGTAGAAACTTTATATATATTACTTATAAAGTGTTAAAGCTTAATTATATTTTTGTATGTAAAGCTTTGAACTAATATTCTTGAGACAAAATATTTTTGGTTAAGATTGGCTAAATTAAATAAGAACAAACTAAAAGAAGAAAAAGAAGAAAGGAAGAAGAAAAAGAACAAACTAAAAGAAGAAAAAGAAGAAAGGAAGAAGAAAAAGAAGAAAGGAAGAAGAAAAAGAAAGGAAGAAGAAAAAGAAGAGGAAGAAAAGAAGAAAGGAAAAAAGAAGAAAAGAAGAAAAAAAGAAGAAGAAGAAAAGAAGAAAGGAAGAAAAGAAGAAGGAAGAAAAGAAGAAGAAGAAAGAACAAAGAAGAAGAACAACAACAAAGAGAAGAACAACAACAAAGAGAAGAACAACAACAAAGAGAAGAACAACAACAAAGAGAAGAACAACAACAAAGAGAAGAACAACAACAAAGAAGAGAGAGAAGAACAACAACAAAGAAGAGAGAGAAGAACAACAAAGAAAAAAGAACAAACAAAAAGAAGAGAGAGAAGAAAGAACAACAAAGAAGAAAGAAAAACAACAACAAAGAAGAGAGAGAAAGAACAACAAAAAAGAGAGAGAGAGAAAAGAACAAACAAAAGAAGAAAGAGAAGAAAAGAACAAAAAAAGAGAGAGAGGAAGAAGAAAAGAACAAAGAGAAAAAGAACAACAACAAAGAAGAGAGAAAAGAACAACAAAGAAGAAGAGAAGAACAACAAAAAGAAGAAAGAAAAAACAACAAAGGAAGAGAGAAAAGAACAACAACAAAAAGAAGAAAACAACAACAAAAAAAAGAACAAACAAAAGAACAAAGAAGAGAGAGAAGAACAACAACAAAGAAGAGAGAGAAGAACAACAACAAAGAAGAGAGAGAAGAACAACAACAAAGAAGAAAGAGAAGAACAAAGAAAGAAAGAGAAAAACAAAGAAAGAAAGAGAAAAAAGAAGAAAGAGAAAAACAAAGAAAGAAAGAGAAGAACAAAGAAAGAAAGAGAAAAACAAAGAAAGGGAAGAATCAAGTTTATTCTTGCATAGCTTCAATTAAAAAAAACTCAGGCTGAATATCTGACTTGAATCTATTCTGTATAGAAGATTTTCAATTAAGAAAAAAAATCTATACATCTCTATCTATAAAAGGCAGGATGTGTATGTGTGTGTGTAACGAATGCACGGTCGCAATTTGCACCAAAATTCACGGAAAGGCCAAGACCAACTTTGCATTTCCCAACTCCCATTGATAGTGGAAATAATCGATTTTTTCATGCTTCTACGGCAGTTTTCATGTAGTTTGCAGCCATTTTCTACTGGCCAGAGTGAGAGCCTATAGCTGGCTGCCACGAATAGGCAGGAAGATTCTATTGGCCAGCATGAGAGCCAACAGCTGACTGACACGAATGTTAACCAGCATGCAAAAAAAAAAAAAAAAAAAAAAAAAAAAATCGATAGCTGTATTCGTCACAAGTGGGAAAAATTTAAATCTGCATGGCACTTTACTCCAATTAGCTCATTCGCTTGCTTAAACTCAACATTGATTCTAATTCTGCAGAACTGGGTTGGGTGTGAAAAGGTATTTGTTGTTAACATTCTTTTTTCATTCAATTTTTCCAGTTACAAGTTCTTTTTTAAAGCTGATCGTTTTGTGTTCATTTTGTTTAGTTCTTTTTTCGTAACAGATTTAATGTTTAGTATAGAGCTTAGAAAAAATTTACAATGTGAGATAGGCAAGAAGTAAGGCATGTAGTAACATCAGTACAGCAAGGCAAGGAAGGGTAAAAATATTTTAAGTCAAGTGATAGCGATTGCTGTATGAGTTGTAAGATTTTTTAATCAAGCACGGGCAACGCCGGGCCATGCTGCTAGTCCTTTATACAATATACAGGGTGTTCCGAAAGTCACAAAATAAGTGGCAGAAAACATACACTTGTGAAATAGCAACCAAGGAAAATTTGCATGACATCATCTTCCATAATTCAACCAATAATATTGTCACATACAGAAATATGATTCCATTTGGTAAATAAATATATAATTTACAAGGTTATCAATGGTAATGTGACTTTTGGAACACCCTGTACATTAATAGTTGGGAAATTAAGGTTTCTAGATAGGAATTGGTAGTAGATAACAGTCCAATACAAAATAGATGCCCCATTACTTCTTAACCTTTACTTTAAATGAAACAATACAGAAATAATAAAAACATGTAATAAGAACAGTCTTATCAATAATTGTTGCTTCAAGAATTCCTGAAGACATTTTATATGCAGTATAACCAATAATAATAAAATGAATAAATTACACAGGCATAGTCTAGAATAAAGGTTTTGGAAAATGTTATTACCAAGATAATTTAAAAGAGAGGCTTATGGAAGACAGGCTGAAATAAGAGTTTTTTTTTTGTTTTTGTTTTTTTGCTTTATATCATTTCATCCTACACAAGGTAATAAAGCCACTAGGATGCAAAGGGTTACTGAGTTTTAAGGAATATAAGAAAAACTACTATTAAGGAGAGAAAACAATAAAAGAACAATAATTAAGAAGAACATAATGATTGACATTACATTTAAATTTTTGAAAATCAAAGTTGACTGGAAAGCCAGAAGCCGGAAAAAAGTTCCACGAGCAAGAAGTGCTATAGATCTAGCCTTTTCAACTGAAAATTGATGAGATCATGTGCCAATCTAATACTACACTTAAATTCATAAAGTCTAGGTACCATAGTATAAAGTTTATCAGAACAACTACCATGAAAGTATTTATAGATAAGGCACAGAAGTGGGAAAGTGACTGAAGTTGAGATGCCAGGTCATGACCAATAACATTGCAGATGCTTTGCATTCTATCAAGAATTTCTAAATATATAGCAGAAGCACCAGAGCAGATGTAACAGGAATATTTAAAGTACAGAACAAATGGCAGACTTATAAATTTGTAAGATAGATGCTGGCAAAAAAATTGTCTTACACAATATAGTGTACCAATTTTCTTAGCTATAGACTTAGCAATTGATTCAATATACTCTTTCCACATATCAGTTATTTTTAAAACTTTGACTTTAACAATTTGAAAACTCTGGCAGTTTGTTTTTAACGAAATTCACTATTTAGAAAACAAAAATGTACGAGAAATATATAATCCTCAAAATTATTAAAGCACATGCATTAACAAATGTACATTCTCATAATATAAAGCTTATAGAAAATTAATCCTTTCATGGCTATATTACTACAGGCATGCTGTGCTGGCCCATTTTGTGAAAAATAGGAAATTGTCATTTACGGGAAATAAAAGACTATAAAAGATGCTGACATGGAAACTGCCATTTTGGTTTTCAGCAGATACTTTGCAATAGAGACTAAGCTAAATGACACCCATAACACAAAAAACTTAAAACAAGTTATATTGAACATTACTATATGTCTTATGTAGGGTTGAAAATAGCACTAAGCACTAGTTGTAAGACAAATGCTATGGACTGGCAATGTAAGTTCTTTAATGATTCCCATCTACAGCAGCAAAAGTGTTAATGTACATGCATCATATTTTTTTTTAAAAAAAAAAGAGAAAGACTGGTTTGTTTGAACATTGTGTGCTCACTGTGAAAGGTTAAATTCAACAGTTGTTTAAACCTTAAAAAAAAAAAAAACAACAACACGTTATTTCAGTAAAATATTAACTGGAAAAAAAAACAAAAAAAAAAAAATCTCATTACCATCTGTTTTGATAAAATAAATAAAAAAAAAGTTATCAAAATATTATGCAGACTATCATAAGTAAACTAATAATGTATGATACTACAATTGTTTTGTTCAAATAACTAGTGGGGAAACAAGTGAGCATAGAAGGTCAGACATTAGCTGTTCAGAACAAATCAATTTAAGAACCATTTCAATTTTTTTTTTTTTCAATCTCACAAAATGTGTAGTCATAGAGCAATCAATATAAAATAAAGGTAAAGAAAACTTTGCATGAATTTGCTGTTAAATTCTGAAGGAATTTTGCTCAATTGTTTTAGTATTCAGTTATTGATGTTCTCAAACTAGCAAAAATATTTTCTTTACACAAAACTAAAACTTGATTTAATCATCCAACAGAATATATATTTAAAATGTAAATGTTTAAAAGTAAAATTTAAAAAAATTAACTTTTTACTATTCTTTTCTATATATATATTTATTGTTTGAATTTGTTCTAAAAGCATATGTGTGTGTGTGTTCAATTTTGTGAAAGCATCAGCTTCAAATATTTTACACTAATTATCCCAAATTGACTTGTTTCTCTTTCTTTCTCTGTAGTCTGTTTTAACAGGCTTTATATCAATAAAATGTACACAAAGCAAAACTCCTAAAAATGGTTCATGAAACTTGTATAGATTTCCATTGGGCAACAGTAAATGTTCATATATTTAAATCTCATTCTTAGCAAATGCCAGATTCACTTGCATTTCACAAACATAAACATACAACTACCTATACATAATCTTAACTTATTTGGAAGCACTTCATTAAGGACATTTGCTGGGTGCTGAGAGAACCAACTGCATCAGAAAGAAAGACATCCTCTGAAGAGTCAACCAACAACCACTGATTAACTACCTTTATACAGAAAAACTACAAGATTAGGACACTGGTTACAGCTAACCAACAATCATGTATCAAGATTCACTCTCTACCAACCAGAGCATAACAAAAATAGAAGTGGATGCCTAAGAATAATCTCCACAAAACAAATCATCACACAGTAAACAACTGTAGAGCTGTGGTCAGGCTGGATGACCTACATTCTCCTAATTAAAGAAGATCTTAATTTAAAGACTTCAATTACCAAAAACACAGTCTGACTATGTTGCTGAAAATGTCTATCTACAAACAGCATTCCTTGTCACATAAAACCTAGTTGCATTTTGAGGAGGACCATTATACATGATTGTACAGTGTTTGTAAGAGTTCTGTTTTTAAGCTACATAATTACAACCTTCAATGTATCTCTCTAGTGGCAAAATAATGATCTTGCTTGAGTTGCTTAAATGAAAACACAGGCTCTTAATTGATATTAGAAAATCTGAATGATAGAGAATTTGTGATCTGCATAAACTTCCATCTAAATAAGAATCTACATGCAAGACAATGACAGGAAAACTGATGATGCTAACAGCTTTTGTTGAAAAAAAAATGACATAAAACTAGAACTGTGAAGTAAATTTAAACATCTGTGTGAATTAGCCTGTCAGCATGAAGTTTCTAAAAAGAAAAGCAAATGACTATTGTCTATCTATATGTCTTGGAAGAGACAAATGAATAAATGACATTTAAATGCATCAGCTTGCAAACAGCATCAATAAATAATGTGTGAAAAAGATAAGATTTTATCACAAATATAAAATTCTTTTTGGCAGCATTTTTCTGGACAAAAAGTAACATTTCAAGGTATGTAGAATCAGGAATTTTATAAATATTTTATGAAGCAAAACTTTTTTCATTCTAAGCTGATATTTTTCTTTCACATTTATACAATGTCTTTTTGTCTGCACTTAGAAAATCTATGAATAAAAGTAGTTTTTTTTTTTAATTCAGGGTACACTTTAAAATGGAAAAACAATAGTCTCTTCTGAAATAAGTATTTATTTTTAAGATATTACATTGTATATTTAAACAGCACACTTTTCATTTACAGGGATTTGCTATTTCTTGTTAGAGAGACTGATAATGACTGATTTAAATCTGTTGAGGAAGGCAAAAGGGAAAGGATTATCCACTGCTTTTTAAAGATTAAGGAATTTAGCCTTCAGTTTAAAATATCAAATGACAAAGACTTGACTTAGACATGGAAGCCATGTGTTTGGTGTTTCAAGCTTTTTAAAAATAAAGATTTTTTAGTTATAAAAATAATTAATACAATAATCTTCTGTTAACTTGGGGTGCACATGGCTACCTTTCTGGATGCACCAGCTGAGAAACATTGAACAAGAGAGTGACAGGTATATTCAAAGAAGAAAAAAAAACTTATACATTAACTAACAGAATCTATTTTGATTGCATAATAATGACATATTGAAAATGAAAGATTAAAAAAATTTTGTGCAAAACATTATGAAAATTAAAAATATAAAAATTTTTTAGGTGTGTACAAATCTTTTGACATTATCACCCATCAGGGAAGGTAATCTTCAATAAATAAAAGTATCTAAAAAAATTTTTTTTTAAATTTTGATAAAAAAAAAAAAAAATTCAACCTCTAATCATCCTTATTCATATCAAATTAATACTTAAATTTACAAACAGTAACCTATATTTAAAAAAAAATGTTTTCACAATTCATCTCACCAAAATGCTTTTTTTAATACATACAAAATATCCAGCACTGAGAGCCATGTTTTCAAATTATCTCACAAAATAGAGGATAACAGTATATTCAACTCAGTGTTTAAAAATATAACTATATTTGTGTATCTTTACAAATTTTTCTTATATAAGAATTATCTCCCTTGCAGTGGCAATTCCAGGTTACAGTCTCTTCATCATAACAATGACAGACTGAAGATATTCATGAAACCAAGTGAAGTGAAAAGAGTACAGGAATAATAAGTGGAAAACATCCATAAATACTGATATATAAGAAAAAAAAAAATCAGAGAAAAATAGTAAGGGGTAAACAAGACATCAATTTGGTAACATAAAAATATTACAGTAAAGATAACATTCAACTGCCATCACTGTAAGCTCCTCTATTTGATAAGTATTTGTTTGTTTTAATTAATGTTAATAAATCTATATCTGATATAACAACTGTGGCAAATTTATATACTTATGAACTCAACAAAATAAGTCAACCTGAAGAATGCTATAAGATTAAATAAAAACTAAGAAAAGAAAAAGAGTCAATTAGTATAGTAGTTTATTAAATATTTAATTCTTGCCTGGGTCACAAAGAAAATCCTGCAGTTGTGGAACAAAAGATTTGCACTGAAAGAAGAGAAACACTATATCATACACTGTTAACAAGGTAGTGATAAAAATGTCAAAAGTAACCAAAAGAGCAATGGTCATCAAGAAAGACCTGGAGATTGGTAACAATAAGCAAAACACACTGAAACCTCTCACAAGGACCAACAAGCCCAGAGCCATTATTATTAAAAACAGAGTTCTAGATAGGTGGACAGAATACTGTAAATGTCTATACAAGATCCACTCAGACACCTCTATACTCAAATAAAAACAGATTATCAGAGAAGGCAAGAAAATGTTTCTGCAATAACC